ATAATTTCCGTAATTTCAAATAAATAAGTGTTTGGAAATGTTGGGAAAAAATGAAATTTAGTGAGTTGATTTTACCCTCCTTTATTATCTTTGGTGTGGATTTTCCCAAAAAGATATCGAAGTGGTTATGCGCAGTCACGTGAGGTCTATATTCTTCATGTGTTACAGTATCAATCAATAAGGGTGCGTTGATATCGGGGTGACTGTGTGGTCGAATGCTCTAAACTGACCAAACCTCAAGTTGGTTGTCATGAGTTCAATTAATACGCGTTAGTTGCTATGCTTGTTCTCGAGAATGAAGCAACAACTAGGCTTATTGTTTTACTTTTTTTTGGCTAAAAAATGTTAAAACATGAGAAGAATTATTAACTTGACCAATGTAATGTTAATAATGTTATTCTTATAATTATCAAATATATGTTTGTGTTGTTAACTAATTTTGTGGCAGATAAAATCATGTTTCACTGGTACAGTAATAAAAATAATCATGGGTTGAGAGTAGCAGGAAAAAAAAATCGCAGTAGGGGCAGGGGGTTCTGTAGAGGGGGCACTTTAAGTAATACTTTCACACAGTTATAGTTTTGCATGGAAGCTGAAAACTGTTACATTTAGGTCATCAAAAAAAAAAAAAATCATAAATGATAAAATTTAAAAAAAGAAAAATAGAATGTATTTCCTGAATTAGTCAGTAAAACCAACCACATAGTCATAGCAACATATAAAAAACCTAATCAATCAAAATACATAACTAGACTTAGACCATGGAAATGCCTTTAAATTTAAACAAATCTAAGACTTAGGCTTAGACTCTAAGAAATGTAGACTTTGACTTATAATTATAATTATAATATATGAGATACAAGCAATAATACTAATAATAGCACTAATACTAATACTATTGCTATCATCAATTTCAATATTAATTAAAATTAATTCAATTAAAATTGTACGTTAAACACGTCAAAAGTTCTAGTTCAAAACAACCCATCATGCGGCTAATTACACATAATACTTTTTTCAAATTGCCAAACAAGCGATAATAAACCTTATTTGGCTAAATTCCTAGCCGATTGCGTATAACGCTTCCCAAAATATATTGTATACATATAGTTGACGTGTGGAATTTCCGTAAATAGATGGACATGACCGGATAAATCATCGGGAATATTCAATATTATGACAGTTAAAGGGTTAAAAGATAGAAAGAAAGACAAGGAAGTGAATTATTAACGGAAAATGACAAAGTAAAAGGTATTTTTTTTAAAAAACAAAACAATAAAAAATAGACCAATTTAATTTTATTGTGTTTTACTAAACATCATATCTAATATTATATTCATTGTGGTTCACTACGCTGTAAACTAGCAACTATTTTAAAATATTTACTTTTTAAAAATATTCATAGTAATTTTGTTTTAATTTTACGGAAATCCAATACATTTAAATGAGCAAAAAATAAAACAAATTAGTTTTAATTTTAGTAAAAGTTTAAGTATTATTATTATAAATTACAAATACATTAAAAAAAAACAACTAAGAAACTATTTTAAGCATTTTATCTGAATTTAAACGTTATGAATACAGAATTTAAATGAAAAATAATGATCTAATCATTGCATCGTAATCCAATTTATCGAGAAAACACAAACATTTATTGTTTTAACAAAAATTAATTTGTTTTAAATAAATAAGTAAATGACGAATCGCCTATGTTAGCCAAAACTCTTAATTTTCTTTCATTTCATAAAACGGATCATGTATTTCCCCCTTCTTAAAAGTAAAATTAATCAATATAATCGATTGTTCTTTAAATTGTTAATAAAACACAAATTTTAGCTTTGTATTTTTAACAATTAATAACTTTAAATTCTAAAAATTTACTTTAATTAAATTTATAAGGTAATAAAAACTTAACCCTTAAATATACTTGTATTAAGAAAATAGCATTTAAGACAATCAGTGCAGCGAAACTCAATGGCCATATCATTCACTATTCTCCTTATAACTTTTCCAAATAAGAAAAAAAAATTAACCAGACAAAACGACAAAAGACAAACGACAAGTTTACAAAACGACAAGGCTTCCACGACCCACCGTCTTTAATGCCTTACATACCGTAAAGTATGGTCAACTTTTAAAGATATTTTACATGCCTATAATTGGAGAAACACGCGATTCGGTTATGAGACTTGAGCATAATTACATTAAAATGTAAATAATTACCATGAGAATTACATGACCTATTTTTGTATTTACCTACAATTTCCATTACTTCATTCAAAAGTAGGCTATAATTAATTACCATTAAAATTACTCCACTTTTGACCTGTAATAACAATTACTTTTTTATTTACAATATTTTTATATTCGGGACTTTTTTAAATTTGCTTTAGTAACTTTAAACATCAACATTGTTGTAGTAAGACATGTTGCCTTTCACAGTGCAGTGCGTGCACATTATTTCGAACCAGCTTTTGGATTTTATTGTTATACAATAGTGTGACCAAACCATGAACTTGAAAAAATGGGACACTTTCAATGATGGCTTTGGGGAGGGGGGGGGGCGATACAATACTAAAAACATTATTGAAAACTTTGCACTTGGCTTAACTATCAATCATAGCGTCCCTTTTTAAAATAGTTTCATTTTTTGGAATACTCCTCAATAAACTTACTTTAACGCTTTAGTATAATTATTTTCTTTATGAGAAGGTAAGATACAAACACCTGCCACTCTGACACGAACAGGTGGCAGGGATCACACAGAAGACTAACACATTACATGTAGCGGTACATGTAGGACTCTGTTCAGTAACATCATCCTCGCCCACTCCTGTGGCTTTAAGTCTCGTTTCTTTCGCTATAAATTTAAATATAAGATCTATGGCAGGGACGCTGAAATTTTTTAGCAGACCCTTTTAAAATGACACACTGTACATTATAACTTTCAGCTTGCTCATTATGTGGATACAAAATGTATGTCATATTGGGTCAAAGTACCATATGAGTATGCTGTATACCATAACATTATATTCATAAGGATGTGATTTGCTATTCAGTATGTTCACGTTTACCCTGAAAATAAACATTAACAGAGTAATTTTAAAAAGTACAATTACATACAGGGTAATTAATTACAATTACTCATTACAGTAATTTTAAATAAATGTGTAATTAATTTCAGTTGTTATTAATTATCTTAAGTATGTCTGTTATAATCCACACGTTTGTGATCTTAAAATGAGTATTAGTATTTAAGTATACTGTACAGATTTGTGAAATTTCAGTAAGTCTATTTGCAATTAAATGTAATTGAATGGTTAAACAGAAAACTTAATTTAATGATTTGTTTGATGCCAAATAGTAGTATATGTATCCAGGGCGAAAACTAACTAAAAATGATAAAAAAAATACAATGAATGATATTAACTGAAGAGTAGAGTGTTCGTCTGACACATGTTTATTTTATTGATCACTAATTTTTATTGCAACTAGGCAAATCTACGTAAATACTTCAGTTTTTGTTGCTCCTGTTGGTATCCTTGAACCTGTGCAGCCACTTTTCTTGTAGAAGTTCATATGTTTTCTTCTTCACTTCTGATGCTCTTACGTGTGCCTTCGTCAGAGTAAGTTTGTGTTGGGCAATATCTTTCTCAATGCCATCAACTAAGAGCAACACACTGGGATGGCTGCAGTGACGGAGAGAGTTAATTGTGAAAGTCTTCACTACAGTTAGTAGTTTTGGATAAACCATCAGCTGCAGCATCATATGATTTCTATACTCTGATTGGAAACTGTGGATTCGACCTGCGGAACCCTCAATATATGCCGAGAAGAAGCAAGTGAGTACTTCATTGCACCGTTCCTCATTTGGAAAAGTGGCTGCAAGACTATCAAAAACAGCTCTCACTTCATTGATCGGTACAAAGGCCAATGCAGCTAGTGATTTTAGCCTCAGGTGTACTTGAATATCAGCTTCATAATCACGTTTTTATCCTGCAGTGTTTATTTTTCTGATGATAATCTGGCACCGATGAAAGTAACATCCCTTGACTTCAACATAGAGGAAGGCTTGATAAGCAGCGGAAATGCAGGCCTTCTTAAAGTCTACAAGAATTTTTTGAGGAGACAAGTTTGGAAGGAGCTCCTTCAACATTTGTAACATTTTCTTGTATGTTCCCATGTTTATTCTCTGCAAAAAGAAGTAAACACAAGAAGGATAAGAATTTCCGACTCTAACAGGTTTAATAGTTGGTAGAAAACATTTGGAACTTTGTCAAAGGTGCCATCGCCAAAAATAGTTTCATTTTCCAACTCTTTCAATAATTCTTTATCTCCAAAAGCCAAAATTCTATCCTCACCATCTTCTCCTGAAACAAGAATTAAGGGTGCATATTTTGGGGGATTGAAAAATTGGTATTGCTTGGGTTAGGCAAATGCGCACCTTTTTCGGTGTCTGAGTAGAGTTCTTGGTAGTGACGGTTGCTTTGGGAGATGTGTCATAACATCACTGCTAACTCCAATCAAGGATGAACCGATGGCATTTCTTGCAGTTGCTCCTATATTATTTATTTCCTCCTTCATCATGCTCTTAATGATATTTGCTTGAGATTTTTGAGGGATGACCTGATGGGAATGAGGTGGAGTAGCTCCATTGATATTCTCACAAGATGCCCTTAACATTGGTTTGCAGTGAGTGGTATGATGATGCGGCATCTCCATGTTATGACTCTTTCCTTATTTTCTGAGAACTGTGCATACTCAAACCCAAGGAAGGTCAGTATCTAGTTTCCTTTTTGGCTCTTGGAAAATTCCATAGTGACTGACAAATGAAAAATTAATTCAAGAACAAATGATATACCGTATGTGGCATGAAACATGATAATTAGTGTTCAATAAGTTAAATACTCTACATTAAAAGCAATTATTGGGTTGATGTCATTAGCTAAAATTGAACCGAGTGCAGTACTAATAAGGCTATTTAACATACCCAAATATTCATTAAATTGGAACATTTTTATTTATTAATAGGGCTGACTGAAAAGTGGAATTACAAGTGATATTGTCTCTGTGTCAGTTAAGGATTGTGTGGGCAAGATACAGGGTAATACATGCCGGGCTGGTAACTATGATGAGAATTAATTAAAATAACCCTACCTTGGTAAGATAATTGAAGATTGAAGGTGAAAGTTGGGTTTGTAGGAAACTGCACTAACACAGCACTTCACAGTTGCACACAAATTGAAGCTTCAAGAGCTATGTATCAAACTCCAGGAATTTTTTCTCACGTCTAATGTAGAATTAGACCCACGAAGATTCCACTAACAAAGTAACAATATTTCCGCCATCAGTAAGAACATCAAAGATCTTTGATGAGACCGCTATCATTTTTGAAAAAAAAAAAAAAAAAAAAAAAAAAAAGGTGTTTTTGAGCTGATTGAGAAAAGGCAACTCTGTTGCATTCTCCCTTGCTGTTGAGGATAAATTTTATTAAAGTTTATTTTAAATTTAATGTTCCGCTATTAATGAATTTTATCGTGCTCAGCCCGCAACCTTACAAGTGTAATAAGGGGAGAGACTGCAATCAGGTTAGCACAATATAAAATGAGTCAAACAGAGTAGGGTTAAACATGAAGAAAGAGGAAAAAGGGGAGAGACTGCAAACAGGTAAGCAAAAAAAAAAATGAGTCAAACAGAGTAGGGTAAAACATGAAGAAAAAGGAAACAAAAAAAAAAAAAAAAAAAAACGAACGTTACGGCAGAAAGCCTTCGTAAGTAAACAAACCAACAGAGAAAACAGTATAAAAATAATAAACAGCACTTGTCATTTTGTCACCTTGTAGTTTTGTCATCTTGTCGTTTTGTCACCTTGTCGTTTTGTCATCTTGTCTTTTTGTCACCTTGTTGTTTTGTCACTCGTCGTTTTCTCATCTTGTCATTCTGTCATGTGTTGTTTTGTCACTTTTCGTTTTGTCATGGAACCGAAAAAAACATATGAATGGAAAATTGTTAGTTTTACTATGGAAAAGACTGCAATTCGGTGGAAGAGTTTAATGATTTTATTTACGTCTGGGCGAGGGGGGGGGGTTGGTCAATTTGCCCAAGGCAGCACAAGATGCGTCTCAAAATAAGGAATTCATTTGATAAATAATAAACATTCTTTGGTACATACATATCGGAGGTAGGAAATACGATGTGTGCGTTTTTACATGTAGGAAAATGTTTATTTTATTCCTATGGTGTATATTTTTGAATAAATTGATTTTATTTGCTCTTTTTACAAACATGGGTATGTTCATTTTGCCCGGGCAGCACAAGATACGTCCCAAATTAAATTAATGAATTTGATAAATAATTAACCTTCTTGGGTAGACCTACATAGCTATCGGAGGCAGGAAATAGGATGCTTTTATTTTTACGTGGATGACAAAATATTTAAATCCTATGGTATTACATTTGTGAAAAAAGAGATGTTAAGTTCTCTAGTTATAAATAAGCTTATTTTTTAAACAAATTAAGAAAATCAATGGCGTTAACAAAACATGGGTAAATTTATATAAATAAACCCATTAATATCAAAACCCAATCATTTTACACATTGAAAGTTTAATTTTGAAAATTCGAGATGGGGTAATTTTTTTTTTCAAGGAAATTATAATATATATATATTTTTTTTACCTAGCGAATATTAAATGGGTTTATATGTTTGTGATATTAACTATTTAAAAAAAGACAATCAAGTCTGTTATAGAATTTAAAAGAGGTTGCAAGATCATTCTTTAGATAAGAGATTTCTAAGATCTTACGATTTTCTGAAAATTTGTAAGTAAAAAAACAAAGCAAAAATGTGTTTAAAATTAATATGAAGATATTAATATATCAAGCTTCTTTTAGATAAAATGTATTTATATCACATATAGAGTTTTTGTTTTAATTTTAAGATTACGTTTTTAACAATTTGTTGGGGAAAAAAAGTTGGAATTCAAGGACACGAAAAGGGGAGAATTTAATGTAATTCTCTAGCGTAGAAAACGTCCCTCAATTAACTTCTTTAGTGACAAAAGTGATATAAGCAGTGCTAATTTAGATTAGGAAATTTAATTTCATGTTTAGAGGGGGAAATGTAGTTTACGGGCGTGAAAGGGAGTAGAGTAGGCGTATAATATATAATAATAATAAAGTTCATTTCAAAAACACGCTTCATCCCTAAAGGCTCGAAGCGCGATACAAAGTCAACAAAAAACAAATCTATAATTTACCACATTTAAAACAAACGCAACACTACAAAAACTAATTACTAGCATACAATTTTAAAGTCTTTCTAGCCATTTCAACCATAAGCAACACAGCCATAATGCATTAACTGAAAAATAAGGTAGACAATCATCCCAGAAGGTGTTTGCGAAATAGATGTGTCTTTAAATCGGTTTTAAAGGACTCCAGTGTCTGGTTGTTTCTGAGATCGACAGGAAGGGCGTTCCAAATTGTTGGACCAGCAAATGCGAAAGCAGATAAATACTTCTCAAAACTTAATGATCTTAGAGACGGAAATATCATCATATAAATATTTCTTTTTAAAGTTAGAAATTGTGATAATATTTTGAAATCAAAGGTAGAAACTATTGCAAATGACCTGCCATTATTATTCTGAAAACATCTGGTCATTTGTTCTAGTCTAAGAAAGCAATTAATTGTATCGACGTCCGTTTTTCTTCTACTATGCCAACATGTTCTGTTCACTAACTTTTGTGGTGATTTTTCATATTGTATTTTTCTCCAAACTTTTTGTTAAACATTAAGCGTATGCCATTGCACTCCTTTGTGGCACAATGTTATCTAGGGTTTAGGTGACTCTTCAAACGACCACAGACAACAACACTATCGAATCAGAGCCTAAACTCCGTTTTCTTTTTCTCTGATAAGAAAGTCACTATATGGTTGAAATAAAGAAATACTTTAATAGTTCATGTGATGTTTCAAGACACAATGCACACCAACCATCAACAATACTGTTCACATATTAAACAATGGAATTTCCAGCACACAGTGCAACAAACCACTCACTAATTACTTAAAAAAAGGACATGCTGCATGACGTCCATAACAATTCTTCTGACCAATATATTGCACCAACGGAAATGCGTCATAAGGCATTCATGATTGAGAAATAGTTATGCGACACATGAGGAAGTCCCTAGAAGAAACATCATAGCTCACTGAAACAATTATACATAATGGGAGATCACCTTCTCTGACAGTGATATCTATAAACAATAAATACTTAAAAAGTTTAAAAACATTTTAATAGTTTATTAATAAATGTTTGTTTAAAATCTCTATTGTAATGAAACAATTTAAAATGCCAAAAATTAAAAAATTAAATAATTTATTATTTTTTTTTAATTTTGAGAGAAGCGACATTTTTTCTGTTTTCTTTTACTTTTCATTACAAAGGTCTCCTAAACACCATGTTGGCTATTTTCTTAAAGGTTTCGTTGATTTATGCTGCTGTTATATGTGAGTACAGTGCTTATTTTTCTTTTTTCAAACTTAAATGACACAAATAAAACATTTATAAATAAATGGAATTTCTATGCTATACAATTTTTATATTTAATTTTGTATGTAGCGAAAAGTTATTATAAGGTTTACGTATTCTTTTTATTAAGTCTATGTCGTAAATAATCTTTTAACATTTAGCAAAAAAATATATATAATAATTTTAGTTTTTTACTTGCATGTTACATTATATGCATTATGTTTCAGTATGCGCCCATCCTCAAAAGATAACAGTATATGACTACAAACAAGAACAGAGTCAATCACAGTGCACAAATGGTCTCATCAGTGATGTTGATGTCGTTGTCTTTCAATGTCTTGTGGACTATTCTCAGGATAGGGTGATGAAAAGTGTTGTTTTCCAAACGAAGAAGATATCCGAAACAAGATTTAGTTTTGTAAGTCTCTTATAATACAAAATGCTTAGCTGGAAAAATATTTGAGAACTGTAAATTAAACTATGCACTATGAATAGTAAATGTTATTGAATTAAAGCTTTTGACACAAGCCCTGGGACAAACAATATCCATCCAAAGTTATGTGATATTCACTTCGTGACATAGAAAATTGTTTACCGGTTGTTGTTTTTTTTTACCTAAATATTTAAAACTTGTGTCAGTAAAAGAGTAAACGGTTATAGAGCTCTTGTATTGCTTGTGTAATAGCCATGCTTTATAACTAAGTCTCAAAACATTTTTCACCGAGGGCCGGGGAATTATTCTGTACAATGGTTGCGGGTCATAACGAAAGCTCTAGGAAAAAAAGATTAAAACCTATCATGAGTATTCCATTTAATTCATGTTAATGATGGTTGAGTGGCATGCGATGCACAAAAACTAAAGACGACCATCATATTCATTTACTTCTATAAAGTTATCAAAGATGGTTAGGTCCGACCTAGTGCGCACATATCTGAATTTCAAAAACTAAGCAGCAAAAGGGGTTTGCGAGATTCGTGAAACTGACGTTTGGCATACAAGGTATCATCAATGTTTGGTTTGGAAATTGTGCATTCATTAACGAGAATTGCACTCGAATGTTAATCAGTAAATGCCGTTCGATGTGTCGAAATCACGTATTTAATTTGTGAAAATGTATACCCACAGACATAAGATGCGAGACATATTACGTTTGCCCTAAGAGTGGATGGCGGTGGCGGTGAGTTGGGGGATTTTGTGTACGGGTGTGCCGGGTAGGGGTCTACTTATTAAATTCTGTAAAGTTAACACCACAACATTTTCTAAATCATAAGGGTGACGGTAACGTTGTTGCTTTGAGCGTTTTCATAATGGAATCGCTAGTCACGGCAACTGTAACATGAGATTAGTCGTCAATCATTGCTTTTGTTTTCTTCCTTGTGGATTAAGTAATTTTCTGCCATAATTATGAATCCGTAAGATTTGAAAACTACGCTTCGAGTCAACCATTTACAGTTTGTGGTAGTCATCAGACTAAAATATAGAAGCGAGAATGTGCTGAATAAATATTGATTTTTATTTTATTTATTTACCAACTTTTCCTGAAAAATAAATCTCAAGTTACTTGGTAGGTTTTTCAAATTATGATGTCGTAGATCCTTTTTTTAAATACATCTTATTTTATTATAGACCTTACCTTGAGATAAACCACGTTAAAATTTCACTTGTAACTTTATTTTTACCAGTTACTGACTAAGATAATGTGACATATGCGTCCACTCAATATAAATTAATATCTATAGCAGATACACGTCTGCAAAACAAAGTGACCGCAGTTTTCAATTTAAACTTAATTTAACTTCTTTTAAAGATTATTTTTTTGTTAAGCCAGCTTAATTCGATTCCACTTGGGACTGTGATGCAAGTAATTATTGTATTCATTATTTATACTATATATTCGTGTATTTACTATTAAGATAATTTTTTATATAATTTTTAGACGATATTGTACACTTTTTTTTTTGAGATCGAGAGTAACAGGTCTGCAACAATTAAAAAAATATTGCTACAATCATTTAAAATTGAAAATTATGAATTTAAGATGCATAGCAGCCAGGTCATCGCAAATTTGAAATCTTCTAGTATTCTAAAAACAAAATAAATATTGTTTCACAACATTCGTGTTTAATACGTTATATCAGGCAAACTCAAGTACCGTCAGCGGGCTGGATGAATGACTTCGTGGGCCTAATCCGGCCCAAAGGTCATAGCTTGGTGAACCCTGCGATATAAAATAGCCAGGAGTGTACTAACATGTTTAGCAAATGTATCGAGATACATAGCAAAGATTCGCAGTATTCTTTTATTTTAACTTTATTTGATCTTTATTCTTGACTTTGTTTTAAACAAATCTATGGCATTTGAGGTTAAAAATAATTAGCAATATTTTAAAATATTATACTCAATTAAAAAAAAAAAATTATTGAGACATTAACTATAAATGATCTACCTTTAAACGTTTCGAAAAATGTCCTTCACTGATATTAAAAGTATATTAGATTAATATATAATTTTTACCAATAATAAAAAGTGCAAATACATTATTTGATTACAGCTAGATGACTGCAATATCCAAGAAGACTGTAGGAACTCCAAATATGCAGATGGAGTACATATTGACATATTTCTCTTAGAAATAACAATCAGAGTGAAAGCAACAAAATCTTTAAGTGGAGCGAAATTTCGAGGCCAACTTTATGCATCCAACAATAAGCAAATTCCCAGTAACGAACAGAAATTTCCACAAATAGCAGGTAAAACGCAAATAGGTAATTGTATTGAATAAATTATAAATTGTCATTGGTTGTTGCTTGTATGTTACATTCTATTTAATTGTCTCTAAATTTGGTGGTTTTTTCAAAGGCATTACATGCATAAGAAATATTTCTTGACTTAATTGCGTAAGTAAAGATCGTGCTAACACATACACATTAATACATTCACAGATGTATCTGATGTAAATGGAATACTTATTCTCAATGGGAAAAAAATCACTCAACCAACAGAGTGCTACGATGTTTTTACACGCTCACCATTAAACATTGTGTTTATGTGTCAAAGTCAAGTTTTGCCTTGTTTAGTAGCAATATCAAATAATGAATCTACTGAGACAGTTAATGGAAGTGGACTTGTTACATGGAACAAAGAATATTATTCTCAACGGGAAGTATATCTACATATAAAATACGCAGTTTGCAGATTAAATGAGCGTGGTCCAACTTTTATTTGTAAATTTATTATAGGTAAGAATATGGAATTTAAAAGAATAATAAAATATACAATAACATTTTTAACTTTCATTATTCTATTACATTATAATATACTGCACGGCATTGCCTTCTTAATTTAATTCGTTTTTGATCCACCCGATGACTATTATATAAAACTGTTTTTTAATGATCTTTTTTTAAATAGTACAATAAGATATCAACTCAAGAATATGTTCTGTAAAACAGCTAACATTTATTCTCCATTCAACGTTCTTTTTTATAACCCCATATCACATACTCACTCAGTCCAACCAATAGTCAAACATTTAAAATTCACCATTCGTGAAAACATTTCACCACAACAAGTTATGCAACATGACAACAACACAGACAAAAACGTCAAAAATTTCAGGCAAAACAAAAGACAACAATAATTATCAGTCATACATGCTGTCACAACTTATACGTTTACTATCAGGTGTTGAATGTATGCAGTGAAAATGTAAAATATATACATATTTTTATTATATATATATATATATTAACAAAATGGATGTATAAAAAACAAAACTGACATCCAGGGTTATAATTAAAATAAAGCTATTTACTAAATAAATGTCTAATTAATGCAAACAAATGATTATATAAAAACGTCACTGTTAATGTTTTTCAAAGGAAACGTCTCAAGTCCTGAAGAAAATAAAGCAGGTGACATTACAACCCCAGTGTTAATTTCTATAGCTATTGGAGTCCCCGTGCTAAGCTGGTAAGCACACAAAATAAACTGTGTAAAGTGTTGATTTTTAAATATCATTTACTATTTGATGTATATGTTCCTTTATTAATTATAATTTGAATCTTAAATTCAAATAATACGATGTATCTGATGTAACATCACAAACTACAATAATATATTACGAATATAATAGTTTTAACATGGTAAATGCTTGAAAAAAATCTGCATTTAACGGTTTAACAACCATGTGACTCACTATTAAATAAATGTAATTATATGAGACATAGACCCCACGAAGTAAGTCGAAAACATATTCGATAGAGCTAGAGAAAAATTGTCAGAAACAAATACGAGCCTATATAGCCAATAATTAAATGAGGTATCTGGCATAAAAATTTTAATAATTAGAAATATAAATAATCGAATGGGAAGATTAAAGCTAAAAGTCATAATTACGGTTCTTTACCAGCATAAGTGCTTCTAGTAAAACTTAAATGACATTAGTTTTCTAATCTGGGAAGGGACCATACGCCGTCATTTCGTCGAAACCAAACCATAATGTGACAATTTGTCATCACGGCTTTTCGGCTGTCATTTCAGCGCTGACAAAAATGATTTGATGTTTCTAAAAGGAAAAAAAAAAAAAAAAGAAAAATAGAAAAAAAAAAAAAAAAAAAAAAAAAAGCTACTGAGAAATTAAGTCCAATTAATGTACTGCATTGACTGTTTCTTTGATGACTTTACGTAATTTTTGTTACGCCTACCCCGGTTATGTAACTTAAAAAACAAAGACGGGTGTCCTTCACTCTAATTTTAATAAAACATATAACACCATTTGTTCTTTCACTTTTGAATCTATATTCATGAATGTTTAGTAGTAAAAAGCTGTTATTTTGCGATGTAGTATGCAGACAAGAACATAAACCTTACGGCAGAATTGGTAATGTTAAGTTAAAAAAAAAAGTTAAATCTTATTCTCGAAAACTTGTCCTTTATTTGACCTTCAAATTAATAAGGGGCTATTTATCCAAAGAATTTCGCTATAAATTTCTGTAGTTAAAATGTTCAAATGCAAATTTAGTGTGAGATGAGAAACAATGATGATCCCAGTCTTTGACGCCCAGCTTTAAAGAAAAATTTACATTAAAAAAAAACTAAAAACATTTAAATATATAAAGTGAAATATAATATGTAGTGAACAAAACATTCAGCTTAAAAATAATTGCTAACAGCATTCAAACACGCTTAACCCCACCCTTCCTTTTTTTCTTCCATTGTCAAACGACTCAATGTTATCACTTTATTTACTGATTGGAGTAAAGCTAATATATCATAAAAATATTAATTACTAATTTATTATTTATTATTCATTTGTATTATATAAGAAGCTTAAATATGGGAGTTAAATTTTTTGTAAAAAATATTTTTTTTTCTACATTTGAAGATGTTAAATTGAAGAAAATTATAGGAAATAAACTGAATTTGTAATTTGTAATTTTTTTTTTTTTGGTCTATGCTAAGGCACCAGTATTAGCTCTGGGGATTTTGAAAAAACAAACTTTTGGAACCAAATATTGAAGAAATGCTATTGTAAAAGTTATATTAAAACAAAATGAACACGAAGTTACGTTTACTTTAAAAACTGAAAACGACACCAGACAGCGGGTGTAAATAATCGCGCAGAAAAAAATTACTGCTAGTACAAAGTAAAGCATCATTTATCTAAAAAAAAACTGTTAATTCTGGATTACAAATGGGAAAAGTCTTGTAATGGTTGGATCGACATGTCTCTGTCCAAATGTGGGAGAGAAGCAGACGGTGGGTGCGACTTCTGCCAAGAAGATGTTTATCCAATCTGTTAAAAATGACTGGCGGGGAAGAGAAAATGTTGCTGTCGTCAGGTTTGGCGAGGGGAACCGCGCGTTTTTTTTTAGGATTATCATGTTAGGTTATGAAATTGTGAGAATGTTATGTCAGAAAAGGTTTGTCATATTGCCCTTGTCACATAGACAAGAAGGCCACAGCACGGAAAATATTATTAACCCTTTTAAGTGCTTATGAAAGTAATGTCTCTTCGTAGGACTTACATCCGATATAAATCATGGAAAGTGTCCTTCGCGAAAGTGTAAATTCGACTGTTAAAGTCGTCGAAGACGAAGTAGTTGAGAAAAGGTCATACTGTCTTAACACGATTAAGCGTAGAAAGAAGAGAAATGTAAATTGATGTGACTATTAGAAGATTTTAAGTATAGGTGGAGATTAGGTGGAGATAAGTACGCCGTCTTTATGAAGGTTGATCGAAAGGTTCAAAATGTTGACTCTATTCTCATGGAAAAGTGATGTAAATTTAATTGAAGAGTGAAAAATGCCTACACTGTTGACGAAAAGTGAAAGTTTACCTCTCAAACTAGTGATAAATTCATGGGGCATCTAGTGTAGTTTCCTTCTACCATGTGTTCGAGGTGTCCGATTAATAAAACTCAGTGTCTTATGTTTATCATGCAGAACATGAAGGAAAAATCCCGATAACGGCGCTAAATGAAACTCTTTAAAAACTAAATCGGAAATGAGTTTGGTCGAAAGATTGGTTATCAATAGAAATCCATGTCTCTCAAAATTTAGATAAATATAGCTTCCTATAACTTACGGAAGATACCAACCACTTCAATCGGCGTTGTATCATGGTTGAAACAGTGTTTGTTTCTGAACTAATTATAGGGTTACCTCATATCTGACGCATCAAACTTGAACTTTTAATAAAACAAGCATTTTCATTGTTTACACAAGTGGCAACATTTCGTGTGATCGATTACTGTGTGCTCTGTAAGATGTAATTTTTTAAATTTGGTTTTAGCCTAGAAATTGCTGCCACATGGTGCCCTTTTGGATATTTTATTTTTGTGTCATTCAATAAGGCTGAAAGCAACCTAGGAAAAAATCGTAAAGTTTTCTTATTCAAGACAAAGACTTCTGTTATGATTTTATTTTGTTTGTTTAAATTGCATTTGATAATAAGAAATAATGTTACTTGAGCACGATTGATAATATGTATTTTTTTTTCTTCTTTAGCTTAATATGCTTACTTGTCGTGTATAAGCATAAGGTAGGTATCCTAATACATGTCTTTTGCAATGCATATTTATCTTAAGTTTAAAAACTAATGTGTAAACATAAATAATGGAGAGATCGAACATGTTCTGAAATATCTAAGACTATTTAAAAAGCTTTTGACTAGCCTTCATATAACAAACACACATATTAAAAATAGTAATTCGTTTCAAAAAATGATTTCTAATATTTTTAGTTTCCATCAAAAGTTACTGAAATTTTCATATCATTTTGAACGCAACGTCCTTCAGAGGCTTTCATTGTACCTTCAAGTCAACACATTTTTGTCATATTTATCGTTAACTAGCCAATACACCAGCATTGCCCGGGATCGTAATAGGAAAAACAACACCCTCTACAGCCTTAAATTAACATTAAAAAATAAGCACCTTGCAAAAAAAAAAAATTCCTTATAGTAAAAGAGAAAAAAATCGTCTCCTTGAAATTCCCATTTATAACACTTTTTGTAAAACTTTTATTTCTCAAAGGAATCCCGATCCCAGAGACACCCCAATCAGATCCCGCTACCCGGTTGAATCCCGTTTTTCGATGGGATATCGGCAACTGGAACGAGCCCGCCCCGTTTGGACCCCTGTTCCGCCTGGATCAGGATCCTATTAGATTACCCATCCCATCGGTATCCCGATGCCGATGGAAACCCGATCCCAGGAGGATCGAGTTTTCCGATAGAACACCGATCCCGGTTATATCCTGATCCCAGTGTTCTCTCGATACCGATGGGATCTCCAACCATAGTAGTATCCGATCCTGTTAGGATCCCGATACCCTGTGGGCTCTCTTCACTGATGGGATCCCGTGTCCTTATAGGATCCCTAACCCGGATAGAACCCGTGCCACCATGGGATCGCTTTACTGGTGGTTTCAGTTTACAGTTCGTCTTGGGATTCGTAAAAATTACAGTGAGCTTTTAGATCGTATTATGTATCCCCATATAACTATTTAGATCCATCTGGAATAGTCTAGATTACATTCAATATCCTCGTCAAAACGTGTAAAAAAATGTATTCACGTAATAATTATTTTAAAACGAAAAATTAAAAAACTAAATGAACCACTATAACAATAGTCAATTTACGATGCAAGAGGAGAACCGACGAAGCCCATACCAGAAGTGAAACGATTATGTTTTGCCTTATATAGGATACAATTTAAAAATCAGTCACGAAAACAAACAAAAATATAAAATTTTATTGTGTTCCATTAAATTTATTTTAAAAATGACATAGCTATAGCTTTTTTAACGTATCCTATTTTCTGTAAAAATTTAGATTGGATATCTTGGTTTTAAATCCACCTAAATTTCAGAATTGACTATGGAGGGTATTGCAACAAAGCTGAGCAGAAATCCAACAATTCACATAGATCATATGGTGTTGTCTAAGCTTATTGATATTTATATTGCTTATATTGGGAAAAAATGAAATGGGGATTCCTGCCCCAGAGAAAGGGATTTATGATATCAGTACTCTTCGTTATTTGAATATGGATCATCAAGTTTTTGTGTACTCAGATTGGTTTGTATCCATATATTCATGTAGAAATATTTAGCCTAGAGATATTTATTTAGCGTATTCTAGGAATATCAAAAGGGGCACCCAGTCCCAGAGGAATGGTTATTATGATGTCAGTACCCTTCGTTATTTAAATATGGATAATCAAGCGTATCTGTACTATGATTGATCAAGATACATCTATTCATGTTCAATTATTTGTCATTTTATTAATGTAGCTAGGAAAAAACGAAATTTTGCGACCTCGGCCAAAAACAGAATGTTATAAAAAGATCATAAAACCCCAGTATTTGATTTTGGATAATGATGGATATATTTTCCAAGTTTGGTCAAGATCCATCAATCTATGTAAAAGCCTTCCCGGAACTAACAGCAAAACAAAGAAATGTACACTTATAAAAGTATATATATATATATACTAGACGATATACCCATAAATAGCCGGAGAGCCTTCGGAACAAAGGAACTTAAATTTAAATTGAAGCACCATGTAGAAAAAGAACTAAGCCTAACTAAAAATATAAAAATACATAATCTGTCTTCTATTAAAAAAAATTCATAACAACCTTTGTAAACCACTCGTTCCCCATATGACCCTGATCTCGGAAGGAACACAATACGATCACGTTTGTCATTTTATATTGGTATACGAAGCGATTCAGATCCAGTTTTTTATCCGATGCCGGTAGGATCCCGATCCCGGTGAGATTTCAATCCCTGTGGGATTACGATCACGGTAGGATCCCGATCCTGGTTTGTCCCCGATACAAAGTTGATATTTCTATCCCGGTCCGGTGTGACCCTTGTTGGTTCCCGATCCTGGTTGATCACGATCCTGGTTTGATACTGATCCCGGGGGTCCCGATCCCGGTGGGATCCGTATGCCGATGGGTTACTGATCCCGGTGGTATTCCGGAATAAATAAACCCACAAACATTCACTTATATATATATATATATATATTGTATCATATATGCTGTATATAAAAGTGTCTTGTTTAAAGTATTAATCTTTTTTTAAATATTATTTAAAATAAAAATAGTTACGTCTGTATTGCTTATATATATATATATATATTTTATAGATGTATTTATATATATAAGACTTTCACTAGAAAATAATAAGTCTGCTTATAAATGTATTACATTTTTAAAAATAAATCATTTAACTCTTGATCCCCTTGTTTGATTATGTATTATACCTGATAAATACATGTGTGACACTTATTGTTCATTACTTTTAAACAAGTACGAAATAACAAAAAAATTACAATAATTCATATTTAAAAAAAAAAAAAAAAATTAGTCTCTCTTTAGGGTTTTTTTTAACCAATTTTTATTTTTAATAAATAACAAAAATTAAAAAAAAATTTTTTTTTTTTTACATTTATTTTTTTTTTTTTTTTTTTTTAAAAAAAAAAAAAAAATACAATAATTCATATTTAAAAAAAAAAAAAAAAAAATTAGTCTCTCTTGAGGGTTTTTTTTAACCAATTTTTATGCTGAATAACTAACAAAAATTAAAGAAAACTTTTTTTTTTTCTACATGTGTTGTTTATTTTGTTTCTATAGGAATTTGGACTCTTCTTCAGGAGGATTTCAACTTGTATTTTGAAAACAGATCAAGCGAATTGCAAATACGAGACTTGCATAAGTAAACAAGTTTACATTTTTTTATTTATTCTTATAAGACTTATAAGAGATAAATACGGTACAATTTACAGTTTTAACAAACAAAATATACTTTAATAGTTGTAGCATTATTCAGGAGAAAGGGCATACAAATTTTGTTTTTCTTTAATATAAGTATTAATTTTTTTAACTCTTAAAAAAACTTTGTTAAAAAAATAAATAAAAAAGTAAATGAACTTATTTCAAAATGAATTGCACAGCTGTTAAAAGGGTCTACAATTCGATTTATTACATATCTAGATTTATTACACAACGAGTATTATAAACTGTATTTTTCTCGTTCATATATTTAATACTTATTTCACAGTGAACGAGCGACAGAATTTAATGGAGGATTTTAAAACGTGTTCAAAAAATAAAAAACACTCACAGTTTATTCCATCAGATAATTTCACAAAAGAACACTTGCCACAAATGGATTTGGACAGTGACATATTAGAACCACTATTTGATTTAATTAATCTTGTTGCTGATCTAACTGTGCGAGTTAGGGTCTTATACATTAGCCATGATAGACCACATTTTTTTCCAGATGAGAAACATCCTTACCCTTTTTCTGACAAAAAGGGAGATACAGTTACAACAAGGCTTGGAACAGCGTTTATAAAACGTGTTGTTGTTATACAAAAAACTGATGGACTTAAATGTCCTTGTTATAAATGTCTCAAAAGTAATGACAGCGGCAAAGCATGGGGTAAAGTTTACATTTCCACTGCCAAATCACTGATTTTTGATAACAGCGAGGCCCGTTTCTCAACTTTCAAAATAAGTTTCAATAAACAAACTGGTGATTACTACTATTTAAATGGCTCAAGGGTTACACAGTCAGATTTGTATCACGATCAATGTTATATTGAATGCGTGACATGTGACGAAGATTTACTAAATTTACTGTCTTCTAAGACAAAGGGCTGCAAGCAACAAATGTCTGATGTTAACTCTAAATACAATGAAGGTAAATGTAAAGACAAATTAACAATAATAGTATCTAATCCTCACGGATGTCCCGAGCATGTCTCTTTAGGCCATTGGACCAACAGATATGTAGTAGCGGCTGATGATTCTAAAGAAAGTACGAAATATATTTACACCACACCTACATGCCCAGGTTGTATCGGGGCTTTTGTCTACATACTTGGGGCAAGTGATATTTCATTAAAACATCACGTGCACTGTGGATTTAATGAAGAAATTAACAACTTTAGCAGCACGGGAATCGAGAAAATATGGAAAGCCAAACTTTGAAATAAAACTGAAAACGTAAAACGTGATGCAAATTTTTTTTTTTTTTTAAAGTTTATTTTGCAATGATTAATTGTAAAATAAACTGTAACGCTGATTAAGAGGTGGTAATGGAGATTTTTGTGTTTTGCTTTATATTTTACTAATCAATCAGAAAATCTGAACAAAGAAACAGCCCAATATTTTAAAAAAGAGAACCGACGTTTTATAAAATATTTGTTTTCTATCAAATTAGCTACGTACAATTATCCAATCTAGTTATTATACTGTAGTAAGAAAGGACCCGATGTTACCGGAATAAAAATGGAAGGCAATTGAAAAATATTCATTAGCCACATAATGTATGCCTTCTCCTCTTAATTTTTAGGACCTAAATATTACAACAACAAAAAAACACATCCTTTAATTTTAACAACAAATTTAATTATTATTATTTTAATATCTACAACAGTAATGGAATTAGATTTTTTGTATCTTCATTATAAGATTAACCAAAGCTACTCTAATACATTTTGGGAGAATCGTAACACACAAAAATCTTGAGAAATGAATAATGTACTAACTAATTTTTCGTCTTTAACAGCCAAAGTTTTCTTTTTTAAATAATCTTTTTTTAACTAAAGTTTTTGTCATAAAAAGTTTTGTCATGTACACCCGCGTTCCCATGGATTTTTATTTCTCAAAAATAAGTAAAAATATATTTTGAAAAAAAGGTTAAACCCATTTTTGTTAAAGCCCATAAAATATAGTGGAAAAATATGTCTCTTACCGTTAAGATTAAATTTTCATGTGTGCAAAATAATTCAGTCGTTTTCATCTACATAAGAAATGTCCCACTCTCTTTCTTTCAAACTTTATATTATGTTAAAAAAAATATTTACAAGTAGTCGACCCGCGACAGAATTGCTTTTGAACTATATTAATATTCTCATGTCCCAACCACTTTTAAACCGAATCTTTTTTACACAACACTTAAATTGAGACGATTTCATTTCCGAAAAGAAAATGTTAAGCACAAACGCAATTGCGTTTTTAAATATGTATAAATATATATTTATTTATTTGAGAAAGTAAAGTGGTTGTGTATTTTATGACATAAACAATTTTATAAAAAACACTCAAGTCTGTTATAGACGTGAAAATCGTTTGCAAGTTCTTTTTTAGATAAAACGTTTTTTTTTACCATCTTTGTGATAAATTATAATTTAAAACAAAACAAGTCAAAAGTAGTTTTTTTTTTAAATTTTAGATGAGATATAAATATATCAAATTCCTTTATTATAACATATATTTATATCATATATAGAGATTTTGTTTTGTTGTAAATTTATGTTTTCATCATTTTTAGAGAAAAAATTTGTGTAGTTTAAGGGAAGGAAAGAGGGTAAATGTGAAGTATTTCTCTAGCATAGCAATCGTCCCTCAATTAAATTCCGAACATGGCAGAAATTACTCTTTAAGGAATTTGTGCATTGGCTCTGACAGTTACATTTAGTACTTTAGCTCTAAATAATTGTATGCTTTATTCAATTTGCGTTCATCTTTCCGACTTGCCTTTAAAATTTCGTCTTGTTAAAATCAGAGCATTTTCTTTTGTTTTCCAATGGATTGTGATGTCCAAACAATTTTTCTAAGTTCTCCATTACAACATGAGATATCCATTCCTTGCTTGATATTTCATTCTGCCTTACAAGTTTTTTGCCAAAATTAATCTAACATTAAAATTTGAACTTAATTTAGTTAACTCATTTAGTTAGTTTCATAAAGGTAAATATGTATTTCAGTTTGCTCCCTCAACCTGCACTTCCATTATTTGTTTCTTCCTGATTGTAACCAGTTTAACTGAAGCATATCATGCCTGCTTAATGAAAGACACAAACCTTGTTGCTTTTTATCTGCAACTTTCATGTTTCTCACACATGCATGCATATAACACACAAACAACTGAAGCTTCTTAAAATGGAGCAACAAACTTGGTTCTGTATATTAAGAAAATTATTGATTTTTTACAGTTATAAATTAATTGATTTGTCAAAGGACTCTGTTATGTGAACATAGAATAACGCTTTATTTAAAATGGACACACCAAACAAGCACACACTGAGAACCTTTCTTAAATTAATTTTTTATGTGCACAGTTACAAATAAATTTATTATTAAACGTAAGCGTGTCTATGTACACGTTTTGGAATATGAAGATTAGGACCAAATTTTACGAGAACCATCGATTGAATAAAAAAAAATTACAAACAAACATATAATAATGAGCTTTGATTAGTTGATCACAATAATTCAAACTCCTAATTTACCCATCCCGTCCTACTCACATTAGTCCATCCCTGCCTCTGCCCATTTACACATCCCTTCCTACTCCCATTAACTGCTTTTCTTTCCAACTCCATATAATTACTCTTTATTCCAAATTACATTAATACCAATATTAAATTATTCTCCATTTATTCAAAATTCATTTGTTTGGCAATTACTTCCAACGCCATTTAATTCACATTCATTCCAAATCCAATCCAATACCCACTGCTACCAACTCACCTTAGTCAAACTGTTGTCTAATTCGTATTTAATATTTATGCAAAGAAAAAAAATTGATGTGGGTAAACAGTTTTAAATCGCTGTCTCAACAAAAAATCATAGTAAAAAGTGAATGTCGCATAAAAATACACACTCACACAATTTAAACATAAAATAAGAAACATGATCCTAAAAGTACCATATGTACCTATATATCAAGTTACTGGAAAAAATACATTGCAAAAAATGACTCATTAATTTACTCCTATAAATGTATATTCTAAAAATGATTTAACAAAAAACAAATGACCTATTTATTTAAGTCTTATATTAAAAAGGCTTGGCAAAAGTTCAATTAAAGTTTCCCTTTGCACAATATAAAACCATACATGCACGATTTAACATTTCAAAGCTTAGATAAGCTGAACAGTTAATATATTTTATATTCATGAAACACCTGAGTAAATCTGAAAAAAAACTTTTAGGTTTAACTTTGTATGTAATAAAATTATTTAATTATGCCAAATAAAAACTATCCCACAGTTTATTTTGTAATATTTATATTTATAAAAAGTCATGTAAAAGACTTAAGTTAACATTAAAAGTACGGGGATTTTATTTCTTGGTGTAATTGAAACGTAAACGTCTTACGTATAAAGCAAATAATTTATTTTTAGCTATTAATTAATTTTCTTAAAGTTGTTTCTTTATGAAATGTAAAATTCTTTCAGGGGCGTCAACTCAGGGTTGTTGTTTTTGTTTGTTTTTTTGTTTTTTTTTTGTTTTTTTGCGTCTCAAGTAGCCCCAATGGCTTAAAACCTACAGGCTTGTGTTTGAAAGACATTTACCGAAACGTGTAAACAGCTGCAGCTCAAGGTAACCTAGTCTAGGTGAATGGGAAAAAACAACAACTCATCCATGTAATGCGAATAATATAATGTTATCCTGCTGTTTACCTTGATGGGATCATCCAATGGAAACTAACAAAATAATAACACATGCGCGACCTGTTTCAGTGCAGCCCCCCTCCCCAATCCTTTTACTTCTCAAGTACGTCTTTATTTTTTTAATTTACTAAAACTGTACACCCCAAATTGAGGCCTTGTTTAAAGATGGGGGATGGAAATATCAATCCCAGTCACTCGTATTCCAGACCAAAGTTCTTAATAGTTTCCAGAAATTAGTAATTTTTTAGACTGACATTTCATTTTTTAAGACCTTTAAAATTATAATGCTCTGTAACAAAATAAGTGGCAGAATATTTTGAAGACAATTATTTTGAAATGTGGGGTTTATTCCCAGGGCGATTATAATTTTAATTTCGACGTTTTTGCCGAATATATACCGTACTTTGGTTTGTGTTGTAGGAGATCTAAGCGCATTTTTGTTTACCTCTTTGTATTGTATTTCGTTGTTATTTTGCTGAGTTATTGTATGGAGATAAACTTTGATACACTTAAAATGTAATATTGTATATTGCGTTGGAATCTGTCATTGCTAAAGTAAACACATCAAATTAAATTTTAGTTTAATTCCTTTGTAAAATTTTATATATTCATGCAAAAGTAAATTATAAATAAAAATAATTAACTACTTATAACCAATTGAATTGTATACCATGCGTTATTTATGTTATATAACATAGTGTACTTGTAATGATGTCATTTTTTTATAATTTAAACAATTATTTTGTGTATAATTACAATTTTGCTTCAATTTTGAAAAAAAATATTGTTAGTATTTAAATTATAAATATCACTTAAATCTTTGTATTCATGTCTAATTATAAAAAGTTACATGTTTATGTTTAGTTTAGCATATGATTTTAATATATAAAGATTTAATTATGTAAAATAGCACTACTTATTATTTTTTTAAAATCTATTTTTTTTTAAAGAAATAAGTAATTGAAGCTGTTGTTATATTAAAACAAACAACAGCGAAAGTTCATATTTTTGGGACCAACACATGACGTATTTAATTTAGGGACTGTCTTAATAGCTTCAGTAAAATCTATGGACTTCGACATTATTTTTTCGGAAACACAACGCTCAGAGAGTAAAGTCATATTTCACGCCAAAAGAAAGCGTAAATAAAGGAAAGGTAGAATAAATCCTTATTCAACTATGACCTCAAACAGCATTAGTGATACAATTCGGAAAGCATTCCAGAGAGAAACCTGAAAAAAAGCCACCCCTGTACTCTTTGTGGAATATACCCTTAGTCATCTTGACAAGTTAATGCAAAAAGAAATATTGAATATGTATTGGTGTTGCCTTATGAGCGGTTACAAAATTATTGCACCTTAACTAACCAAAAACTAGGTGGCTTATGAACGAAGTTACTTAATAACGAGTATATACGGTATACACCGTGATCCATGTCACATTTGACATTGTAGCTAAAATAGATCGTCAATATCTCAAAATTATATTCGTAGCCTTTGACCACATTTGGCTAAACACCAATCTAGTTACTGTAATATTGGCATATGTTAGATTAAGATAGTGTATCGATTTCATTGCATTTTGTAGACATTTTGCTGGGGGTATTTCAAAGGTCATGTATGTCATGAATTGAGTTATCGAAAATCAAGTCAACGACTACCCAGGGAACTTTCTATTCACTTGTATAGCTTTTTATATTTTATTGATTTGCTACGCTCTAACAACATAGTTGATGCTTCAGTTAATTAATTAAAACCTTTATGTAGATAAATAAATAGATTATATACATATATTATTACACACATGTGCTCAAAGATGTGTCCAAATAAATACTATTTATGATTATTTTTTTTGTTCATTCTTTTTGTGTGTGTTTGTATGATGTCTTTTAAATTTTATTGTGTAATCACCGAAGAAGTCACGTATTGACAATTTTTTAAAAAATATTACACAACACAATGTTCAACGTACTGAATTGTTTAAAACTCTTACATAATTCATTGATTTGTATACCAGCATTGCTACAGCCTGAATACAACCTTTTGGAAAAAAAGATGAATTTCTCGATATCAACTAAGGAAATCTGAGATTTAATTATTGTTTGTCGATTTATCAATTTTGTGCACAAAAGCTTAATTATTATAAATGATCATAACAGTTATGTGTATATTAAATTGTCACGGGTTCCCACCAATAAAAAAGCAGGCAAAAAGGATAGTTAACAATTTATTTTTCTTTTGCCGGATATAATATGGAACTTTGAAAAAAAAAAAAACATATTAATATATATATATATATATACATATATTCAATTTAAAAAATTAATAGAAATTCCCAAGAGAGTCTAAAAGTGTTAGCGACGTTATAATGAACCCCACATGCATCCACCCTTCTCCGTGTATATAACTTGTCAAAGATTCTTCATTTAAAACTATCCACACAAAAATTTAAAAAAAAAAATAAAAAAAAAGAATAAATAGAAATAAATTAAACAGTTTAATTTGCAGAAATATTATATGTTAGCATTGCCAAACACTAAATTTCTGATTTTGAAACCTGTTGATAAATTACAATTTAAACCACCAAAAGAAATGTGTCAACTTTTATTTATGTATATTCAGCTAAATAACGTAACTTTGTATGCGTTATAATGCTTTTATAA